ACGTCCTTTCACTCGCATCAGTAGAGGTGCGCACGGTGGTTGTCATGACGACGGTGTTTGCACTGCAGGAAGGAAGCGTAGTGCTGTTGTAAAGCCTTGGCAGCGCAATTCGAACTCCGAAATAATTAAAATTAATGCCTTATCATGTACCGACGGTGCTGCATAGGCCCAGTGCTATTGTTACACGTAACTTGTTCGTGGCTCCCCTACAGTACATTTCGAAATGTCCCCCAAATGTTAGGCACTCCCTTTCGTTGGCACTTCACTTGCGTCGGACCGCGCATCACTCACGAACTGACAGTCTCGGCAGCCCCTCCTTCCCCCCTTCCACGAAGACCGCCGTGCGTTACCACCGTCAGTCTTAGGTTGCGTCCTACGACTTTGTCCGATATATCGAGGGCTTGAAACGATCTATCATGATCCAGTGCGGTGGTACTTGACGGCGTGCCTCGGCACGCGTTGTGTGAATGTTCCCATGTTATCTGGCCGCATTTACTTCATCTAATCAACACCTCTGTCGCCTCTTGTTTTCAGGATTCCTGGAAGGCTGCCTCTGCCGTCCCTCTTCACACATCTGGTCTTCGCGGCATCACTAGTAAGTTCAAACATTTATCAATCTTGTCTGTATAGTCTAAAATATATCAAAGTTGTGTGCATGTAGCTTTTAGCTGGATCACAGAACGCTCATGACTCAACACAAGCCTTATGACTAAACAGAGGCCATCCTAATCCACACTGTCCAATAGTGTGGATTAGGATGGCCTCTGATACACATGGCAATAATCCACACTGAATTATCGGGTCGACGTTGATCGCATCGTCGCCGTCACCGCGATTGATATAAATATTGCCTTTGATAGTGTCGACCGTGACGTCATTCTGACGAAGCTGCAGTGGTATGGCGTGGATAAGAGTTGCTTTGAGAGCTACCTTGCTGGTCGGCTGCAGGTGGTGAGAGGGGGATGTCTTCCTCCTCCATCGACTCACAGCGTACCTCAGAGATCCCCCCATCATCTTCAGGATCTTCACGAACGACATTCCACCCCACCTACCTCACGGACGTCTAGCATCCTAAGCCGACGTGATACAACTGCCAGACTCAACTCATCACCAACTATCCGTTTTGAAATTCTGCCAGAATAAACTATCAAAGTCATCAAATCCTACTTCACACCTAATTACCTTACCACGCGCTCGGGTGGGGGTCAATTTAATCCCTCGAAAGTTTTTTTCCAGATTTTGCTCTGAACGGCCCGGTGTAGCCACGCCTTTTCGTAGCTATAGAAAATCAAACAGTGGATCGTTTGGTATCAACAAGAAGATGTACCTTGTAAGGTCAGTAACCTAGGACAGGTCAAAGTCAGCCCATGGATTCTGCGAAGACAATTTCTAGGGATTCGTTCAATCTGATGCAGCAATGGGGTGTTACACGGAGCCATACACCTCTGCGATTGTTTCCTAGGCAACACAAGAATTGAATTACCGAATTCAATTCGCCTAGGGCCAGACATGTATGTCAGCCCGAGGTCAAAACCAACCTGTTTTATCACCAGGGTGCTTGCCACATGGTGTAATTTCTGGTGCTTATTTTGAATTTATTGATGACAGGAACCGCATTATTACCTTATACACCGTCGGTCATTAAACACCTTCCATGAATTTCTTTAAGGGCAGAATAGATCAATGACCTGAAATGCCCCAAGCAACATGTTCTCTTAAGAAACATGCTGTCTAGCGTAATCCTTGAGCTTATTCAAATGTAAATATCAAAGCGGTCTTGTATGATTTTCGTCACCATGACGTTTGACAGTTCAGAAAAGGTCACTGACCTTAATGAGCAACAGCGACGTTTTTCCTAGAACAGTTAGTTAGGTTCACGGTGGCTGCATAAGGTCCGTGGCACACAATACACAAATATGGGGTTTGACCTTGTTTGACCTTATTTGTCCCTGAAGCCATGGCATAAGAACCTGAAATGTTGACCCAAATCTAATTCACGTAAAGGTCAACACACCCTGAGAATTTGGTGTTTTTGGCTCCCATAGTTTTTGAGATATTAGGGGGTCAAACTGACCCCCACCCGAGCGAATGGTATTCAACCGGCTGTCCGTGCGCGTGGAACAAGCGCTCGGGTGGGAATCAAATTAGCCCCCCAAACAGCTTTCCAGAATGATTTCCGAACGGCGTTGTGTAGCCGCGCCAAATTTTCAGCACCTGCGAGGAATTAAATAGCGGACTATAGATGTCAAAATTGAATGTGCCTTGTAAGGTCGTTGACATGTAGCAGGTCAAATTCAGGTCATGGCTGCCGGCGAAGAACATTCCTGGGGGAGCCGTTGACCTAGGGTCAGGTATGGTCAAAACGAGCTTAAAACTAACATGCCTTTTTACCCGAGAGCTTGGTTTTAAGGGACAGTTTCTGGTGCTCATTTCCAATTCATCAATGACAGGGATCGCGGCAGACATGTTCCATGAACTTTTTAAACGTCACAGTAGGTCGCTGACCTAAAATGACCGATGTACACATTTTGTTTAATGAACATGGCGCCTAACGTAACCCCTGATACCTATCCGGATGACAAACTAGGACTAATATCGTAGGTATTTGGTCACATTGACCATACAAAGGTCAACAAGGTCACTGACCTCACTAGCCTTTTGCTTAGAGCAGATGTCTTGCTTCATGGCGGTTGCATGAGGAGTCCTGGATGCACTTGAGACAAAAAGCTCTAGTTTGTCACAAGTGACTTCACGTACAACTTAATATACCCCGTGCATTTGATGTATCTAGCTATCTTAGTCTCTTTTTTGGATATCAGTGGATCGAACTGACCCCCCAATCGAGCGCAGTGTATTCAGCCGGCCACCCGGGCGCGATACATTGAATCCCATCAAAACCACTTCTTCTCGGTACTTCACGATCCCTGAGTAATACCTCATCCCTTCACCTTGACAATGCGGCGCACAAATGAAGCCCTTTGCCGTCTGTAGAGAACATGGGCGTTACTTTTGAAATTACCATTTACTGACGCATGCACGTGCCGTGTGTTATCAAGAAGTGCAACTATATCTCGTTTTTTGTTGGAATACAACTCTTCACCTCTTTCCATACGTGATTCGTAAACTCCTTACCCCGTCCCATCTCAGCAACTAAGTCCCACGTTGCCCCCGTCCAGTCGCACGTTGACACCCATTCCCACGTACAACGAGGCTGGTGGTAGGGTCGTGGTTGCCGATACCGGCAATCCACGATCTTTATGCCGGATGTCGCGGTAATGAAAATTTCGTGGGCAGTGCTCGGCATCTAAAATTAAAACATATGAATTGAGCTCACAATGGAGGGCTTGCGGCTTCAACTGTACTGCAATATCCTCTGTTGTTAAGCTCAGACCGCTATAGAAAAATGCATCCAGGCAGAAAACAGTGTATTGCAAGCATCGTAAAAAGCTGCAGAGTTTGGCATCAGCCATCAGCCTTGTAAATTTTTAATTTGGATACCGCTGCAAGGTCAGTGGTTATCCGCAAGTAGACACTGATCATCAAGTTGAGTACATTGGTGTTTCGAAGAGAGAAACACCAATGTACTCAGTGCTACTAATACACAATGCTACTGTGTGGCATCGAGGCTGTCGAGGATCCAGTCGATGTATGAGGACACCTTGGTGTAGATGCCGGGAAAGTTGGCGTTGCCACATCCAACACCGGTGGAGATGATACCGATCAGCTGGTAGGAGCCGTCGGGCAGCTGAACCATGAGTGGACCTCCCGAATCTCCCCGGCACGCGTCCCGCGGCTTGTCGTCCCCGCTGCTGGCGCATATCTTGGTGCCCTGGAAGCCGCCTGGAAATATCCACTCGAACTGCGCCGTTTGGCGGTAAGCGTTCTCGCAGGCGGTCTCGTTGACCACGCACAGCAGTACCTCTTGCAGCAGGTCAGATGGCTGGCCGCCGAACTCGAGGACGCCCCAGCCGGCTATCTCGGCGTCCTGGCCGTGGTGCTGCGTGCCGGCCGGCGGCAGGCAGATGGGCCGCACGGCGTCCGTCAGCTGCACCGGCGACTGCAGCCGAACTACCGCCAGGTCGTTCTGCGACGCGTGGTACTGTGGGTGCCGCACAATGCTGGAGATGTTGCGCTCCTGGTGTTCGACGTCCCACGAGGTGGTCAGGTCGTGGTCGCCGATGTGGGCCACTACGGTGGAGGCCTGCTCGGGCCGTAGGCAATGGGCGGCCGTGAGCACGTGCCGGTCCGTGATAAGTACACCGCCGCAGAACCAGTCGGTCAGGCCGGCATCTGTTCGCCGACCAAACAACACCATCCACGGCCACTTCCCGAGCACGGCCTCAATGCCGCCAATAGTTTCTTGAATGGCGCCAGGGACAGGGGAACCCACCTCGTTCTGTAAGTTCGTCCGACAGTTCAGTCGCGCCTATGTCGCGGCGAAAGCCAAAGACGCCGATTGTCCTACTCGGGTCGCCACATTCTTCGGCAGAAGCTGAGCGGGAACCGCGGTGATAGGTTCGGACGTGTTGTATGCAGACGACGCGCAGCAGATAAGCGGCGTGTGACCTGAGAAGCCGCACGGCGTCGGAGGCTTGTTCAGGATGCTCTCTGTCTTGTCTTGTAGACGGGGCAATCGAGAATTGGCTTGCATAGTTGGTCCTCACCACTGCAGTGTCCCGCTGGCCTCTTGCAACAACTCCGTTGACGATGCGGCGCCGAGGAGCGCAGACAGCAGGGCCAATGCGCCACGGCCCGAGCTCCATGTTGGTGGCAGTCGCGACGCCACCTCCGCTCGCCTTCACCCGGCCCGGCGCAGTGAGCCCGTGCGCGTGGCTACCCGGCCTCCCCGTTATAAGCCGCTCTATCTAAGCCGGCAATGTCTATCGGACCCATGGTCACCACAGATTAGAGTCGTTCATGGAATGTTCACGGCCGGCTGGTGGGCTTGGAGCTGCCAGCGCCAGTATCCCTGTTTTTTTTTTGTTTTTTGCTGGACGAGATCCCTCGCTGGTATGCATGCTACATGAAAGTACAATGGCTGTGAGCTATCAGCCGGCAATTATTTCAGCTGGGGTTCCTACCCTTTACAGGTGGTGTGCGCCGCATGGCAGCGATTACGGTCAGGCATCCTTGTATTGCCGCTTGGAATTCTTTCGATTGCATTACTCCTTGAGTGCATATCTCGCTGTTTGTAAGCCTTGCCACAATTCGCGGCCGTGCATACGGCGTACCATCACGTAGACATTGCTGCAGCCGCGATCAGTTTAGCCATTTGAGATTAGATGTTCTTGTACAATTACACTGCACGTCCCTCTTCCTATACCAATGTTGCGATGGGTATCATTCAAGAACATTAGCAGTTCGCAAAATGATTGCTGCAACACGCAAAACCAATACCAAAGATGTCAGTGGCACGTGAAGGTGTTGCTTACCGATGATTTTACATGTTGATGCTACATTTTGAATGCAGGTGGTGATCGTCCACTGTTGTGGAGGGCCATTTGGGCTGCAATGTTGACGGATTGCCGTATGTGTAGCACCCTCATGGCCGTATCTACGGATCCCTTGCCGCGCAGGCCTGAGATCGATTCGGGCCTTAATCAACATAGGCTTCTCGTCCTCTATAATAGCGCATATAATCATAATAATAACACTAACAGTATGTACTAATAATAATCCGTTAGGATACAATAACGTCTTAACCAAGTATGTGAACGCAAGTAGATAATATAAATCGCGGACAACTACCCACGAACAGCACGAGAAACAACAATTCGGCAAGTTGAACGGCAAGCAAACTACTCGGCAAGTTGAAGTGCTACAAGTGAGTCAGCACGTTCGCTACTGTGGCAATTGTGACACGGCCATTCTGGCAAGGACTCTGACTTCATGCAGACGCTCCACTATGTAATCAGACAATGACTCATTGAGAAATACGTTTACTTAAGAATGAAATGTTGTAGTCTAAAGCGATATTTCTGCACGTAAATTTCGCCGTGATGGGGGTCAATGCCGCCCCCAAGGTTTTTGAGGATACCCTCCGGCATGTTGTGCAATCTGGCTCAAATTTTTGGTAGCCAATGAAGCATCCGTTGCGCGCGTTTTCAGATAAAAAAACGTGTCCCTAGCTTTTTTGGTTCCGGGACAGCAGAGTTTTTTACGAACACTGCAGAAACACGAAATCCCGGCCTGATTAGGCTGCGGGTGGTAACTGACGATGCCGTGGAACGCGAGCGGCGGGTCGACATTGTTCCACTAAAGGGAGTGCTCCACAATTCTATATGGCTTTAAACTGAAAAAAAACATTTTGAAGACTATTCGGTACAGTTCACAGCCATGCCTTTCTAAAGGTCTAAAACCCTGTAGTTTATAAACCTACACGCCCGTGAGATGGGGAGACTATCTCGGGGAGAGTATTTTGGGGTTGCCTTAGTATTATGACGTCATAATAACGCCATAAACTTTACTATTCAATGAGCCTTGCGGCGATCAAGGCCAAGGAGATATGATGGTCGAGTCGTTCTTATCTGACGTTCGTAAGCACGATTTCAACATAAAGCGACCGTCAATTGACTCTCAATCAGTTTTGTACAGGGTACGAAGACGTAATCAAACGATGGCGTATCGATAAGAAATTTACTGAACAGAGAATGGTGTTGTCAGGAGAATTACACTTAAAAGTATACCAACAACAATGAGCGCCAAGTGAGCTTGCTTGATTACATCTGACGCTTGTACTATATCTACAAATTTGAAACATTCCCTTTGCCTGTCAACGGCCTGTGCGCATTGCGATGCAGAAGTGCACGCGTGCGCATCTCTGATCAAAGCTGTAGCAGATTTTACAAAGCAAAGGTCCGACGAAATCAGCCTTAGCCTGCTAACCTTGGCTAAGGTAGCATCTACCTTGGTGATACAAGGTAGATGTGACGATTTGATATTCAATTATCCGCAGTGCAAGATGTTATCATACTCAGCTGCCGCATATCTTTCTTATGTCCATACGATTGTATGCACAACAAGCTGCACTGAAATATGCATACAAATATCTGCAATATCGATTCATATATGGATATTAGAATCACCGCGTAAGTAGTTCGATATTGATCTCGTGGACGCGGGCTGCGCGCGGGTACAAAGAATTTCTCGTGCGGGTACAACCAGTCCGCGAGAAACAAAGCCATTTTCTTCATGTCCATTTTTGTAACAATGACGCCTTTTTCGAGGAGTCTATCGGTATCGCACTCTTTTGTCGTAACATTCAGCGGCAGCACTTGTTGCACCACAGATGCTACAGGTCATGCACATTTACGAGCTTCAAGTCCGAGCCGAAGACGACATGCGATATCAGCAGCTGTTGCCGAATCACGGTCGGCGCCGTATAAATGTCCGGCGGCTGTTGCCCGGGGTCACCCAGAGACCGACCATGCTGACGTGGACGGTGTGCTGTTGTGGCGGTGCTGGCCACCGACCCGGGCGGCCGCCGAGTGTCCCGCACCGAGGCGAGCGACCTGCAGCCGTGGAGCGCCGCCTCCTCCTGGGACGCCGGCGCCGTAAGCATGACCTCGCCAGCAGGGGCCAGCCCGCCCGCTCAGTATGTGAACTCTGTGATACTCATCAACGTGTCATGTAGATGTTTTTACTGCCATGGTAATAGCTAGCCAAATTTGCCCTGCGATTATTTTTCCACATGTGCACTGAAAATGATTGAAATTGGATGTCTAAGCCATGTCGTAGGTGCCCATCAAGCATTTATCTTTGTAAGAGCGAGACTGAGGCCGTCGGCCTCTTTCTCAATTCTGACCATATCCCAGGCGTACTGTTTGGGTGCGTTCCGCGCTAAACACTCTCCGTGACCGTTACTGATCCTGCGCGACTCGTCATTCGTTTAAGGGGCAGTTGGATACGAATCGACGTAGGGACATCTCAGTCTGGTTAGAGTCTTGCAAGCTAGACCAAGAAACAAATAAAAAATGTTAAGAAGCGTAATTGCATGCAAAATTCGCATACGTAACCTGGACGAGGTTTACCTGAGACCTCACCATTCTTAATCACGGGAAAATTAAGCAAGACGAGAAACAGGTAAGCCGACGAGCTGAGCCATAAAGTAACGTTGTTGCGGAAGAAAACTGCCTCGGATGTGAGGTGCCGGCTCGTACGCCGCGCCAGTCTCGATGCATGATCGGTAAAGGCCATAACGAAACGTCCTTATGGCCGCCTCCAACCGCTAAACAAAGATAGCCCCGGCGAAAGCTAGCGAACGAGCCGCCGCGCCCAAGCGCGCCTCAGAGGCCTCGGCCACCATTCCCATCCACGCTGGGCGCGGGCGCCCTGTCTCGCCTAGCCAAATCACCTCCAGCCTCGCTTCCACGCTAAATCACTAAACACAGACCGTCACCTCTGTTTACAAAAATTACTCAGATATAGACGAAGCGTGTGACACCCCTCCCCTCCCCCTTACTTTTGGGAGTACGCCAATTACACAGCGCCGGGATGGGAGGGTCGCGTGGTCAGTGCCCCCCCCCCCCCCCTTCACCCAACTACACGGGAGGGAACGGATGGCCGTGGCCCGCGCCCCGCCAGATGAGGAGGGGTCAAGGGACACGTTTCGAGCGCCAGACGTCCATGGCTCGGAAAGGATGGGTCAACAGACTGTGAACTCACACGTGCATGCTGCCGCCGATATTCCGTTGCCCGCGGGGCCAGATGTCACCGCCAGATTGTCAGCACCACCCTCTCCTCCACGCTCCCCACTTGTAACCCCCGATTGACTCCTCTGAAAGCTTTTTTGCTGGTACACTTTCTCCAACTGGGTCGGCCCATCCTCCTTTGCTCACAGTCCAATAGTTTTGCCGCAAAGCCTCTCCGTCCAATTGTGTTGCCGGGCCAGCTTGCGCTGCTTCCAGGGCTCGGCCCCAACATGCCCCTGGGCCACATATTGGGCGTGGTGTCGCCGGCCACGGTGTAGGGCCGGCTCAATGTCGCCTCGCGCGGCCCCCGCGCGTCCCGCTCTAGCCCAGCCCACACGTGGCGTGACGCTTCTGATGGCGCTGGGGTGAAGGCGGCACCGGCGCGGCGGGGGTTCCTGGGACGGAGCGGCACACATCTTCATGTATGACTTGTCTGCGCGCATGTTTCGCTGGTGATCTGGCTTTTCGCGTGCATTAGCCTTCACGTGATGGTCCATCTCGAAAGACGGGGTCACCGTCATGGTCGTTCCGGGGGGAACCAGCCGCGTACCCCATCTGGCCGGGTAACACACCCTATTTCCGCACGCAGATCTGGTGAAAATCTGCGCCGCGTTGTCGCCACAGGTCAATCGGCTGGAGCGCTGGACGGGTCCGCATTCAGCCCTCAGGCCCCGCTCGGCCTGAGTAATGCTCGCCACGTCTACATAGCCATGTTTTCACATCACATCATTTCACACTGAGATAGAAAGGGGATACCAATGTTAACCATTCAGAAAGTGGTAGGTCTCCGTCTTTACCTCCATTCCCGGTTCCCGCATCCCCATGCCTTACGGTGGTGCAGCGCAAGCCACATAGAGAATCGGCATACGAATGATTATTTACGAGAATTTTTTTTATTTTTACGGTCTTCAATTTAAGTTGCTACATTTAATTTACGAAAACGCCGGCAATCAAATGCATGATTTTGTACCCATTCTTTGTTAAATTCAGGTGCTGATGATTTTACGACCTCGTCACCCTGTCAAAAATTGGCGACGCCGCCCCTGGTGTTCACAGCCCATAAGAATGTATGATTTTCAGAACACAGTGATAAATGACACCTTCTATTCGTCCATTAACACATTCCAATCATGCACTGACACATTCCAGTCATGCAATGATGCATTCAATCCATGCACTGACACCTTCCAATCGTGGCCAGGATTGACACGTCCGGGCCTGGCACTGATGTGCCTGACCCAACGGCTATCTTGCTTTAACCTATTTGGATGGAGTTTCATGTCTGAAGATAAAATGAGGCGTCCAAAAACATACTCTTATTCTTCTACTTCGAAGAACAATGTCGTTCACCCGGCATTTTCACAAGCGGTGTGCCCACGTCGTAAGCGACTCTGTGAGGCACGCATGCCTCGTTTGAAAGACTAATGTTGGACGTGCGGTGTTGCGTCGTGTGCAACGCGATTGGAATGTAAGAACGGCGGTGAAAATATGTCGTACATTTCTGGGCTTTGAAGACCCTTTGGCTGCGTTTTGGCAAGCATGTTCTAGACGCAGCAATGGTTAAAGTTATGGCAGTCCGGTACTCGGACCGCAGCGACACGCCATCTGCCCGTGGCACTACGCCTCGTGCGCCCGAGCGTTGTGCTCAAATTTTACTAATCAGCGATGCGGCGTTCAGCGCGTGCGCAGCGCTAAGCAAAACATGACGGACAGACGCAGCCGAAGCAAAAATTTATATGTACTTACTAACATTTCCTGAACAGTAACAGCCTGCCCAATTCATCGTCGCCAAATCTTTGCACGTGACAGGTAGCAGGCGCGACCACAAATATGACCCTTCGCGATCTACCTAAGCGCGTCAATTTGTTATCTCTTAGATCGCAGGTTGCCAAGATGTGCCCACAATTTAGACCTCAGTGTATAAAAAATAAATAAGTTTACATGTATATATATATATATATATATATTATGCATACAAATATATATATATATATATATATATATATATATATTATGCATACAAATATATATAGATATATATATATATATATATATAATTCATTTCGTGATACATAATACAACACATGATATTTTGCGAGATTTCTGTTGAGCTAAAAAAACATTTCAGCCACTCGCTGATCACGGAGCCCACACTGTACGTGTGAGTCGAGATACAGACCGGACGGATGTCCCCAGTCGGTCAGAACAGTTTGTGTCTGCATCCGTCAGCGGCCCCTGCGCACGTGCTCAGCTCATTGGGACCGTCCTGCTGCAGGTGCCGGCGTCCGGTGACGTCACCATCGACCGTCCGCTGCTGCTGGACGTCAGCACGGCCGCGCTCGGCGCCGTGACTATCGTGGACGGCGGCCGGCTGGTCTTCGACCCCAGTGCCGACGAACTGCTGCTCAGCGCCAGCCTTATCGAGCTGGATGGCGGCGAGCTCTGGATCGGCTCCGAGGAGTGCCCGTTCGAAAGCCGCGCCGAGGTACTGCTCACTGGTCAGCGCGACGAGGCAGAGGGCGCCGCCGACGTGCAAAAGGCCGTGCTCGTGCGACGAGGGGCCCTAGAGGTGCACGGTAAGCCCAAGCGCTCGTGGACCAAGCTGGCAGCTACCGTGCCCAAATCGACGAGTGAGGACCTGGTGGATAACCCCATCTACAGCATACAAGACGAGAAAGACCTCATAAGCAATGGCTTCCACATGTACGAGTTCGACAGCGACGGTAACCCCGTACGGAACTGGGGACGCGTGACGGGACCGAGTAAGTACAGCCGAGTGCTCGACCACACGGATAACGTGTTCGTGGTGGCCGTCTCACAGATGGCCACCTTCGGCAGCCACGACCCGGTCGCTACGGCGGAGGTGTTTGAGTCGCTCTGCTACGGTGGCGAGCGGCAGTCAGCCATTCGCAGCATGGTGGATCGCCAGCGGCTGGCGTTCGTCGCTATCTGCCACGTCGGCTCACCCGAGAACAGCGTAGAGATGGTCGGCACGGCCAACAACGGTCGCTCGCACACAGGACGCATAGTGCAAACCATCGGCGATGTCGAATTCGCCGCCATGTCGACCGTGGTGCTCAGTGGCTCCGACAGCCCCCTGCCCGAAATGGCGTCCTACGCGGCCGGCACCACACCCTCCATGGAGGTGATCCTCACTATGACCGACGACGTCAGCTCCTGGGAAACTGGCGATAGGATTGTCATCGCCTCCACCGACTTCAACCGAAACCAGGAGGAGGAGTTCGATCTGCTAGACTGCCCTAGCTGCGATGGCACGCAGGTGAAAATCATGGGCCCCATCTGGTACACGCACTGGGGTGAAATCACCGACGGCGTTGACATGCGTGCCGAGGTCGGTGACCTCACGCGCAACGTCCAATTCCACGGCCAAATGGAGGATGCCTGCTACGGAAGCAACTTGTGCGACAGCTTTGACTACGACACGTTTGGCGGACATATTAAAATGCTCTCAGGCTTCAACAGCGCCAGGATTGAAAACGCCGAGTTCTACCACATGGGGCAGCAGCCTGTCATCGGATCATATCCCATCCACTTCCACATGTGCCTGGACACTTCCCAGAAAGACGTGTATATCCGCGGCAATGCCATCCACAACACGTTCTCGCGCTGCCTCACCATCCACGGCACGCACAACGTCACCGCCGAGAACAACGTGGCGTTCGACCACCTGGGTCACTGCTTCTTCCTTGAGGACGGCGGCGAGCAGGACAACAGACTGATAGGCAACCTCGGCATGGGCACCAAAGCGGGCACCTTGCTGCCAACCGACGCCGTCAACAAGGTCAGCACGTTCTGGGTGACCAACCCCGACAACGAGGTCATCAACAACGTCGCGGCCGGCTCCGAAGGTATTGGCATCTGGATCTTGATGCCGGATTTGCCCACAGGTCCTTCTGCCAACGTAGACATGGGTCTTGTAGAAAAACAGGCATCGCGAACACTTGTCAAGGCCTTCCAAGGTAACGTGGCACACTCTAACAGGCGCTTTGGTTTCCGTCTGGACGATGAACTGCTCTCTGACGGAACGGTCCAGCCGCTCTGCTACTTTCCGCGCGTGGACCCGACCGACCCGGGGAGCGACATGGCGTTTCTACATCTTGACGATTTCGTGGCTTACAAAAACAGCGAGAGTGTCTGGATCAAGTCTATGCACACTTTGGCCACTAACTTCCGTATTGCCGAGAGCGGAATTGGCATCATATTTGCATCAGCCGCAGCGGCCAACCCCAACGAACATAACGAGATGCTATCTGGGGCACGTATCGTCGGCGACACAGCCAACAAGGGCGAGCCAGCGGGCGAAGTCCAGCTGCCATCCGGAGAGGTCATCCAGGTGGACCGTTCGCTACCCCGCACCGGGTCCGCGCAGCACGCGCAAATTGGCGTCGCCTTCTACCGTGGACCCGTGCATGTGGTGGACACGTCGTTTGCCGGCTTCCAGACTAACGCGCTGCGGCCGGCCGGCGCCATCGGCAAGAAGTTTAGCAATCCGTACTTCTCTTCGCCCATTGCCAGCGTGCGCAACGCCTCGTTTGACTTCGCCGACCCGGCCGCCGGTAGCCGCTTCTACGACGGTGACGGCACCGTAACGGGCTACGAGGAGCGTGACGGCAACCGGCACAATGTCCTGCTCGACTGGGACGGCTCGCTTACCACTTACCCTCGCGCCAGCCTGGTGAGGCCCATCCCACTGTTGATGAACGCACGCTGTGTGCTCCTGCCCAACTGGGGGCCGGGTGTCGGGCTCTGTCCGGACCGCTTCAACCGCGTGCAGCTTGGCATCGCCGGTAACATCCCCACATTCATGACGCGCAACGACCTGCAGACCGCCGAGACGGAGACGGCGCTGGCTGAGCAACAGGTCAGCTACTCACTCAACTCGGCCGAGTCGTACATCATGCACTTTAACACTACCGTGCCGGCCCGCTTCGGGTTCAACATGTACGGCGTCCAGCAAGGCCTGGCGCAGCTAGTTGGCGTCTGCGTGGGTGCCAACCAGGAGCTGGAAATAAAACCACGAAGGCAATACACCCTCGTCAACGACATGGAAGAGGTACTGGCCGACGAGAGCAACAGCAAGTACTTCTACGACCCGGCCATTGGAGTGGTGGTTTTCAGGTGAGTTGGCTCCATGCTGGTGTGGTAATCTTTAGGTAGGCAGGAGCACTGTAATACGGGCGTCCGGATTTCAGAAGGTTGGCATTACTAAGACTGTCAATGAACCAAAGCAGCGGACGGTGTATGCCTGTGGCCTGTGTTGGCTCATGTGCTTAGTGGGTGTACTGCGTTGGAGCTTTACGGCGCGCTCAGCTGCGGAGGCTATGAGGCGTCATCGAGCCGGGGCGGCTGTGCGCACCACCGAGCGCAGGTAGCCGTGCTAGCGTCGATGGACGACTGACCGTGTATGTACCGCCAACAGGTTCACCAGCCAGACTCCGCGCACCGACGCGACCACATCTCACTGTCCGGGCGACCTGGACGAGGACGGCAACGGCATTTGCACTACGCGCGTCATCATCGAGCTGCCGGCGGAGCACGATGACGGCGACTGTCGCTCCCGGGCCTACCCGGCCTACGCCACCGGGCCCGTGTCGGCCGAGGGTGCGCTCGCCGTGCCCGTCTTCGCCTAGCGCAGCGATCGGTCAAAGGACACCAGAACACGGCCGGTAGCCGGCGACGCCATCCCTCCAGATTCGAAAAACGCGGGGCATAACTAAGTGGCAATTGGAGGTGTTTCAACGAAAGGCTGGGATAAACTCATGGGAAAGCCACCTGAGGGTGGCGGTGATTTCTAATCGCGGAAAAGGCGGGTTGAAATTACGACCTAACAATAAATTCTTCGTTATCAACATTGCTTTTGAATGGATCTCAGGCAAGGTGAGACGCAAACCGAATGCTATAATATGGGATAGCCAGCTCCCCAAAACGGAGTCTGCTCTAAATAAAAGTCATGGGTCATGTCACTGCCGCGTTGTATAAGATCGTGGGCATGGTCACTGCGTGACCATGTTGATAACAAAGTTATATTTTATGGCAATAAATGTCTCCCCAATTTCAAAAACATCCAGATGTTAACAAAGATTTAGTTTAGCATCTTCAAAATTATCTAGGAGGAAAAAGCATTAGAAAACATCTTAACCTCTTAGGATGGACCTCTTCCGCGACATGCCAGCTGTTCCGTTGGAACACAAGTATGCGTAACATCCGTAATGCGACTCAATGTTTCATTTACAAAAGACGCCCTCAAACCTCACCAGCCATCTGTTGCATGAGTTGTCCAGGGAGCGCAAGGCCATCCCACGCTCTGTGACTGGCCTAGCCGACCATCTTACGACATCGCACTCGTTTCTCATTGTTTAGCTATCACATCATTCAGGCAACATATGACCATGACCCGACGTGCTTAGTATATAAGGCGCACCGTTGCTGATCATGGAAATCCAGTTTTCGCCGACCTGTGGGGAAGCCTGGCACGACCGAGACCGCCACCAGTGTGACTATTACGCATGCAGTGAGAAATCTGCTATAAATTGGCGCCATGTGACCCGGATTCGAAAATATTAATTTTGCAAGTCTTAGTTGTCGAGTTTTCTTCGAGGATCACCGCCAACCCATCATTCGCACATTCTTGAACGATTGAGCCAGTATCAGTGGGTGACAGTGTTATTTATAGTTTGTGTGATGCTACGTACTGATAAACATGACTACCCCCACACATGCACCAAATGGGGGACAGCAATTGCAAAACCGTGCAGGAAATCGTTCGTGAAAGTAGTGTTCGAGGTTTACACAACTCGTTAAAACATTCAGAAGAGGGATATCACCTTTTGCATTACGGATGATAAACGCATGCGAGTTTTGGCAACCTGCATGAAAATCCCCAAATTGGTGGGAAGGATCTTCGAAATAGACTGTGTGATCCATACGGTGAGCAACGGTGCATTATTGCGCTCAACTAAAGCTGCGTCAAGTTAAACAGTATTCTGGAGAGCTGCAAAATTTTCATTGGGGCTTCAGGCCATAGCATTCGGGGCTTTTCATGATATGACTAGTCCCGATGACCAGCGTTTTCTGATGGAAGTGGTCCTTGAAGGGAGTGATTGACGATAGGTTTGCCCGTGGTATCATGCGGAAACATTTTATGCGATTCAGGAGGCCGTCCACCTTGCTTGTGCGGAACAACAAACGGACCGCACATCTGACATGTGTAGAGGAATCACAGGTCCCACAGGAGGAGCCTATGGATGTCGACATTGCCCGTAACATACCTGGCTCAGTAGTTGGAAGCTTCAGTGGATTTGGGAGGCCTATCGATAGGACGCATACTAGCGTGAGTTTCCATGAACTGGGAACCTCGTGGGAAGTAAGGCTGTTGTCCACAATATTAGTGATACCAGTGCAGAGAGAACGCATGCAAACTTTAGACCAACACACACACACACCAGGCCGCCACAATTTTCGCAGCCTCCATTTCGGGCGTGCTATCCAGATTCCCCAGATACCAATTGCGGAGATAGCGGCTGGAAGGACACCGCTCGTCGCTCCTGTGCCTCGATGAGCGGTTCCACGTGGCTGTCAACGGTCTGTGCGCATTGCGATGCAGAAGTGCACGCGTGAGCATCATTGGTCAAAGCTGTAGAAGATTTTACAAAGCAAAGGTTTGACGTAATCCAGCCTTAGCCGGCTAGGTGATACAAGGTGGATATGACGATTTGTTATCCATCTATCCACAATACACGACATTATCATACCCAGCTGCCACATATCTTTCTTACGTCCATAACACTGCATGCATAACAAGCTGCACTGAAATATGCATACAAACAGTGCCCTAGAATTGCCGACCTTGGACGTAAAGCAACACCCCATGAGGAGGAATTTTTCACTCCTTTTCCCCACAATTTATGTGGATTTTTCACTCCTGCCTGACGTTGTCCAATCGCACATGCCAAACCCCTATTATCCTTTCCGAGGTCTTCAGACGTCATCCAAAGCCGAGCTCATTTGAAACCACCAGGAATAAACGAGGCTCCACGGAACCTGGACACCTATGGCTATGTCCTGTCTCACCTACATCTGAATCATGTCTATGTATGCGCAGAGCAAGAGCGCCAGGAACCTCCAAGCCCAAGAACCCCAGCGACCCCAGCCGCTTGCACGCATTAAGTTTGGTTTGTTTACAAAATGTATCACAATCTGCAGCTGTGCGCCAAATGCAAGGTTTTCACGCATCCCCTATTTTTTTGGTCTCGCCGCCACATCACGGAAGCAGAGCCCTGAGCAAACACCAGCAAGGCCTGGTAGAGAATTTTACTCCACGTACTTCTTTTTTCCCGGGGAAACTTGACCACTACATGCATCACTCCCGCAATGCATGAGTGAAAAGTTCAAGAAATGTCTTAAATTATGTTTACAGATGAACATCACCATTTAAGCACTTGTATTAACATATTTTAAGTCAAATCAGCTGATTACAAAAATTTGCGGGACAAGTACCAGTCTTTATATTTATTTAGCTACTTCTACTTTTTTATATCATACCAGTGTGATACCACTTCATTCTTCCTTCCTTTTCGATTGCCTTTAGAGGAACCATTTGTTGTTTAAAATGTTGACCAATTTCTCTGCAAGATGCTCCAACTGCAAGCTTGTACGTATTTCCTACACAAAACTGGATAAATTCGCCAGCCGCCCAAACATGTTTGATATGCACCCAAGCGTGAATAGTTCACAGGGAATGAAGGAGACAATGCGAAACACGGAACTTATTTCAACCGCCATTTTTGCCCTCATTAACCTTCGGTTAACTGTTTTTTTGGTTCATGGTGGTGCTCAATTAATAAAAATCCACGCGTTTCGAGTGTCTGACTTACCAGGCCACCTGGCAAGGCTTAAAATAGCCTTGCCTAATGCTGCCTCTGAATGGCAGCATTAGAATATGCTGCCATAAAGAGCCTTGGGACAGACCTGACGCGGCTAAGACAGAAGTGTTTGATGGCGGGATTCTGCCCTGTGGGGATGTTTATCATGCGCACCTTTTACTTGTTACGCACTTTAATCTCGAGGGTTGGTGGGCATGATTTATATTTATATTTGGGGGTGGCTCGGATAACTCTGTCTGCCAGCAGACCATGCAAAAGGTATTGAATTTTTGTTTTGGGGGGAGCAGGAAGAAGCCGGTAAGTCTCCTGTGGACCAAGTAATTGCTCACCCTACCTGCTTTCAACACATGATTGGTAACCAGAGTTAGCCAGTTTCTGTTTTAATGCATCGAGTTTTGCCATAAGACAAATTATGATGCCACAAGGCATGCAATTGGCTTATTTTGTTCCATATTCTTGGTTATTTGCCCCAAATTTCTTTAAGTAGCCCCTCATGGCTCCTTTAACCAGATGCTCTCTATAGTTGTCATGGTTTGCTGACTGGCAAATGACTGTGCTCTATACATGCACTATATTTTTTTAACAAATGGATACTCTAAGCTGCATAGCAATTATAATATGGGTTAAATATTGCTATGTGACAAATATTCAGATAACCCCATTTAAAAGATGAAGCCATCATCTCAAACTTTGTCATTAAATATGAATAAACAAGCCCGAATGGATGCATTTGCTGCAGTTGAAAAGGCAAGGAGCAACACTGGCATGGTCATCTAAAAGTTACGTTATTTTTGTAGAAGAGAGATTGTTTTGTGGAGCATACCCATTATTGCCCTTGACATAGGCTAACCATGACAATCAAAACAAGTTGTTCAAAGTGATTTAAAGTGTTTTAATTTGTGTGTCGTCAACTTTGTCTGATGTCAACAAGCATGCACACATGAACTGAATAAAAATGCAAGTTGAAACCAGACAAAAAACTAGTTTTAAATATCATGTTTTTATCAAAAGTGGTGCTGTTAACAGAACGGTGAATTGAGATGTTGTTCATCATATGGGCTACTCTAAGTTAGGTTGAGTTGGTCAAGTGCATGGCAAGTGGCAATAGCAATTGTGCAAGAATCAGTAACTCACAACTGTTGCTGTGATGCAAACAGGTTATACAGGATGAGATGATGTAAGGCCTCTTTAGGTTAGGCATAGGCTACTTTCATGGAAATAAGCCTTGGTATTTTGTAAGAAACAGTGACAAAATGTTTGTTTTCTCTGACCCCACCTTAAAAGAAGCCAGAAGTATGTCTATTGTGTTTGACTTGGTGCTGGGCTGATGTGTAGGAGCCCAACGTTTTTTGTTTGAGTGTTTTATGCTTGTTGAATTTTCTGTTGTTACATTGTTATTGAATTCCTTTGCTTTGTTTTGTTTTAAAAGTGCCGTGTAAGGGAATTGAAAAGTGCAGGATCAAATTGTCGGTGTTAGTAATTTATCATGATCATAGTACTGTCATGAAATAACTATGCTTTAAAGCGCGCCCGGTTGGCCGGCTAGATACCCCTCGCTCGGGTGTGGGGGTCAATTTGAACCCCCCTCTGAGACCTTGGGAACTAAGAAATCTAGAGACACCAAATTTACAGAGTGTCTTGACCTATACGTGAACTCACTTAGGTTAAGATTTCAGTTTCCTAGGTCAAGACCTTCAGGTTGAATAAGGTCAAACAAGGTCAAATTCCATGTTGGTCTCCAAAGCACCCCCAGAACCCAGGCAACTGTCTCAAAGCAAAAGGTCGCAAGCCCATTTGAGGTCACTGACCTTGTTTGACCCTTTGAAGGTCACGGTGACCAAAGTGATACAAGATTGCTCTGCGTTTTCATTTGAATAAGCGACAAAGATTACGCTAGGCAGTATGTTCCTAAAACAAAAGGTTCGACCCGGGTCGTCTTAGGTTAATGGCCTGTTCTGACCTCTAAGAAGTCAACTGAAAATGTATAATGCGGTTACTGCTGTCAACAAATTCAAAATGAGCACCAGCAATTATACCATACAGCAACCCTTGGAGTAATAAATCAGGTTGGTTTTGACCTTGGTCTGACCATCATACCTGACCTTAGGTCAACGTAATTTGCTCATTCAATATTTGCGGTGCCTAAGAAAGCATCCCAGATATGTATATCTTCGTCAAACACTCCGTTGTTGTATCAGATTGAACGATTCCCAAGAAATTACCTTCGCTGAAACCATGGGCTGACTTTGATCTGCCACAGGTCAGCCACCATACAAGATACATCTAAAATTTGTATGTCAAATGATCCGCTATGCAATTTTCTACAGCTATGCAAAATGTGGCGCGGCTACGCCGCGCCGTTCAAAAACCATTCGGGGAAAAGCGATTGGGGGGGTCAATTTTCCCTCCCCCCACCCGAGCGCGTGTGAAGGTATTGTTTCACTGTAATGGCCAAAGATGTTAAAAACGAAATAGTTTTGTGAGGTTTCTGATATTAAATTCATGCCAACTTGAAATAAATGTCTTTGTTTGCTGAAGCATCAGTCACGAGCTCATAAGTTCCGTCTTTTGTGAGTTTATTGGTTTCACTCCCGCACGGTCTTTTTGCGATGGAATTTTTCACTCTCGCCCTAGTTCAAAAGCGATCCTAGCTCTCTGCATACAAATATCTACAACATTGATTCAGTTATGGATATAGGAATGACCATGTACATCATTCGACATTGATCTCGTGGACGCGGGCTATGTGTGGGCGCTAAGGATTTCTCGTACGAGTACAACCAGTCCGCGAGAGACAAAGTCGTTTTCTTCATGTCCATTTCGGTAACAATGACGTCTTTTACCGAGGAGTCTATTGGTATCGCACTCTATTGTCGTCGCTTTCAGCGGTGGCACTTGTTGCACCACAGATGCCACAGGTCGCGCACATTAACAAGCTTCAAAGCCAGGCCGAAGACGGCACGCGGTATCAGCAGCTGTTGCTGAATCATGATCGGCGCCGTATAAATGTCCGGCGGCGGTGCCAGGGGTCACCAGAGGACCGACCATGCTGATGTGGACGGTGCTGTTGTTGGTGGCGCTGGCCACCGACCCGAGCGACGCCGAGTGTCCGCACGAAGCGAGCGACCTGCAGCCGTGGAGCGCCGCCTCCTCCTGGGACGCCGGCGCCGTAAGCATGATCTCGCCAGCAGGGGCCAGCCCGCCCGCTCAGTGTGTGAACTCTGTGATACTCATCAACGAGTCGTGTAGACGCTTGTACCTCAATAATAATAGCTAGCCAATTTTGCGCGGCGATTTTTTTCACAGGTGCACTAAAAACAATAAAAACCGGACGTCTAAGCCATGTCGTAGCTGCCCATTAAACATATATCTCCGTAAGATCGGGACTGCGGCCGTCTTGCTCCTTCTCAATCCTGAGCATAACTCAGGCGCACCGTTCGGGTGCGTTCCGCGCTTATCACTCTTCGTGGCCGTTACCGATGCCACGCGACTCGTCCCTCGTTAAAGGGGCAGCCGGAAGGGAATCGGCAAAGGGATATGTCGGTCTGGATGGAGCCTTGCAAGCTAGATCAAGAAGCGAATAAAAGAATGTTAAGAAACGTAATTGTAGGCAAAACTCGCCACGTGACCTGGACGAGGTTTAGCTGAGAGCCCACGGTTCCTAATCAGGGGAAAATCAAGCAAGACGAGAAACACGTAAGCCGACGAGCTGAACCATAAGCTAACGTTGTTCCCGAAGAAAACCGCCTTGGATGTGCGGTCACGGCTCGTACGCTGCTCCGGCCTGAGGCATGACCGGTAAGGGCCATACCGAAACGGCCCGGATCCCTATGGCTGCCTCCAGCGCCTAAAGCAAGATAGCCCCGGCGAAGGCTAATGAGCGAGCCGCCGCGCTGAAGCGCGCGTCACCGGCCTCGGTCACCATGTCGACCGACGCCGGGTGCGAGCGCCTTGTCTCGCCTATCCAAAGCACCTCCAGCTTCGCTTCCACGCTTAATCATTAAACACAGACCGTCACCTCTGTTTACAAAAAAAAAAAATACTTAGCCATAGAAGAACCGCGTGACACCCCGCCCCCTTAGTTTTGGGAGCACGCCCGTGACACAGCGCCGGAATGGGAGAGTCGCATCGCCAGTGCCCCCCCCCCCCCCCCTCTTTTACCAACTACACGGGAGGGAACGGACGGCCGTGGCCCGCGCCCGCCAGGTGAGGAGGGGTCAAGGGGCACGTTTCTGGCGCCAGACGTCCAAGAGTCGGAAAGGATGGGGGGCAACAGACTGTGAACTCACACGTGCATGCTGCCGCCGGTATTCCGTTGCCCGCGGGGCCAGATGTCACCGCCAGGTCGTCACCACTCCCTCTCCCCTACGCTCCACACTCGTAACTCACTGACTGACTACTCTGAAAGCTTCTTGCTGGTAGACTTTCTCTAACTAGGTCGGCCCGCCCTCGTTTGCTCACAGTTTTGCCGCAAAGCCCTCTCCGTCCATTGTGTTGCCTGGCCAGCTTGCGCTGCTTCCATGGCTCGGCCCCAACATGCCCCTGGGACACATCTCGGGCGTGGTGTCGCCGGCCACGGTGCAAGGCCGGCCCACTCTCGCCTCGGGCGGGCCCGCGCGTCCCCCTCTAGCCCAGCCCACACGTGGCGTGACGCTTCTGATGCCGCTGGGGTGAAGGCGGCGCCGGCGCGACTGGGTTCTTGGGACGGAGCGGCACACATCTTCATGCCAAAAATCCCTGCGCGCATGATGTTTCACCGGTGATCTGGCTTTTCGCGTGCATTAGCCTTCGCGTGATGGTCCATCTCGAAAGACGGGGTCGCCGTCATGGTCGTTCCGGGGGGGGGGGGGGGGGGGGGGGGGGAACGGCCGCTTACCCCATCTGGCCGGGTGACACACACTGTTTCCGCACGCAGATCCGGTCAAAATCTGCGCCGCGTTGTTGCCACGGGTCAACCGGCTGGAGCGTTGGACGGACCCGCATCGAGCCCTTAGGCCCCGCTCGGCCTGAGTCATACTTGCCACGTATAAATACCCATGTTTGGTTGGGCGAGTGAGGAGGGGGGGGGGGGGGGAGTTCCTGACCGTGGCCGGCGTGCTCGCTGCCACACGCTCCGTCGTGAAACTCCACCAGTCCTGGACGGGTGGCGCGCAGAATGAAAAGTATGAAAACATATGCCTACCTATACACTGATGCAGCACATAGCCAATCAGTTTAGACGATCAGATGCACTGTGCTAAGAAGAAGCTACGATACTGCATTGAACAGTTTCTGCCCGCATGCCGCAGAGGACGTCATTTCACACTGGGATGGAAAGGGGATACCAATGCTAACTATTCAGAAAAAGGTAGGTCTCCGTCTTAACCTCCATCCCCGGTTCCCGCACGCCCATGCCTTATGGTGGTGCAGCGCAAACCACATGGATAATCGGCATACCATGATTATTTACGAGAACGCAAGTAATTAAATGCATGATTTCGTACCCATTTTTACAAAAATTCAGGTGATGATGATTTCACAACCTCGTCACTCTGTCAAAAATTGGTGACGCTGCCCCTGGTGTTGAAAGCCCATAAACGTTTTTGATTTTTAGAACCCAGTGATAAAATGGCACATTCTAGTCGTCCATTGACACATTGCAGTCATGCATTGGCATATTCCAGTCAAGTATTGATGCTTTCAATCCGTGCATTGACATCCCCAATCGTGGCCAGGACTGACACGTCCAGGTATGGCACTGATGTGCCTGACCCGGACGTCTATTCTGCTTTAACGTATGTGGATGAAGTTTCATATCAGAAGATAAAATCAGGTGCCCAAAAACGTAACCTCACTGTTCTACTTTGGAAGGAGCAATCTAGCTCGGCCCGTCTTTTCACAAGCAGTGTGTCAACTTAGTAAGCGACTCTGTGATGCACGCCTGCCTGGTTTGACAGGTTAATGTTGGACGGCCGATGTTGTGCATTGTACAATGCGTTTGACGTGTAAGAAGGTTTCAAAGACGCTTTGGCTGCGTCTTGACAGGTACGTTCTAGACGCGGTAATGATTACAGTTATGCCAGTCCGGTGCTTGGACCGCAGCGACGCCCCATCTACCCGTGGAACTAAACCTCGTGTACCCGAGCGCCCGAGCCGGTCAGAGCGGTTCACCAATCAGCGGCGCGCCATCTACCCGTGGAAGTAAACCTCATGCGCCCGAGCGCCCGAGCCGGTCAGAGCGGTTCACCAATGAGCGACGCGCCGTTCAGCGCGTGCACAGCGCTACGGAAAACATGACGGACAGACGCAACCGAAGCAAAAATTACTATGTGCATACTAATAGTTTCTTAACAGGAACAACCTGCACAAATTCATCGTCGCCACTCCCCCGCACGCGGCAGGTGGCACGTGCAACCACAGCTATGACCCCTCGCGATTTCCCGTGCAATTATCCACCCAGGAGGGTCAATTTCTTATGCCTTCGACCCCTAGTTGCCAAACTGTGGCCACAGATTCAAACTCAAGTAGTGTATATGTATACACACACCCACACACCCCACACCCACACCCACACCCACACCCACACCCACACCACACCCACACCCACACCACACCCACACCCACACCCACACCCACACCCACACCCACACCCACACCACCCACACCCACACCCACACCCACACCCACACCCACACCCACCACACACACACCACACACACACACACACCACACACACACACACACACACACACACACACACACACACACACACACACACACACACACACACACACATACACACATACACACACACACACACATATATATATATATATATATATATATATATAACTTTCATTTAGTCATAAAACATAAAAGCATAGCACGAAAACAACGCAGATATCCCTGGGAAAATGTTTCGCGAGTTTTGTGTTGAGCTAAAAGAACATTTCAGCCACTCGCTGACCACGAAGCCCACCCTGTACGTGTGAGTCGAGATACAGACCGGACGGATGTCCCCAGTCGGTCAGAACAGTTTGTGTCTGCATCCCGCAGCGGCCCCTGCGCACGTGCTCGGCTCACTGGGACGGTCCTGCTCCAGGTGCCGGCGTCCGGTGACGTCACCATCGACCGTCCGCTGCTGCTGGACGTCAGCACGGCCGCGCTCGGCGCCGTGACTATCGTGGACGGCGGCCGGCTGGTCTTCGACCCCAGTGCCGACGAACTGCTGCTCAGCGCCAGCCTCATCGAGCTGGATGGTGGCGAGCTCTGGATCGGCTCCGAGGAGTGCCCGTTCGAAAGCCGCGCCGAGGTACTGCTCACTGGTCAGCGCGACGAGGCAGAGGGCGCCGCCGACGTGCAAAAGGCCGTGCTCGTGCGACGAGGGGCCCTAGAGGTGCACGGTAAGCCCAAGCGCTCGTGGACTAAGCTGGCAGCTACCGTGCCCAAATCAACGCGTGAGGACCTGGTGGGTAACCCCATTTACAGCGTACAAGACGAGGAGGACATCAGCAGCAATGGTTTCCGCATGTACGAGTTCGACAGCGATGGTAACGCCGTACGGAACTGGGGACGCGTGACGGGACCGACTAAGTACAGCCGAGTGCTCGACCACACGGATAACGTGGTGGTGGTGGCCGTCTCACAGATGACCAGGTTCGGCAGCCACGACCCGGTCGCTACGGCGGAGGTGTTTGAGTCGCTCTGCTACGGTGGCGAGCGGCAGTCAGCCATTCGCAGCATGGTGGACCAGCAGCGGCTGGCGTTCGTCGCTATCTGCCACGTCGGCTCACCCGAGAACAGCGTAGAGATGGTCGGCACGGTCAACACCGGTCGCTCGCACACAGGACGCGTGGTGCAAACCATCGGCGATGTCGAATTCGCCGCCATGTCGACCGTGGTGCTCAGTGGCTCCGACAGCCCCCTGCCCGAAATGGCGTCCTACGCGGCCGGCACCACACCCTCCATGGAGGTGATCCTCACCATGACCGACGACATCGGCTCTTGGGAAACCGGCGATAGGATTGTCATCGCCTCCACCGACTTCAACCGAGACCAGGAGGAGGAGTTCGATCTGCTGGACTGCCCTAACTGCGACGCCACGCAGGTGAAAGTCATGGGTCCCATCTGGTACACGCACTGGGGTGAAATCACCGACGGCGTTGACATGCGCGGCGAGGTCGGTGACCTCACACGCAACGTCCAATTCCACGGCCAAATGGAGGATGCCTGCTATGGAAACAACTTGTGCGACAGCTTTGACTACGATACGTTTGGCGGACATATTAAAATGCTCTCTGGCTTCAACAGCGCCAGGATTGAAAACGCCGAGTTCTACCACATGGGGCAGCAGCCTGTCATCGGATCATATCCCATCCACTTCCACATGTGCTTGGACACGTCACAGAAAGACGTGTATATCCGCGGCAATGCCATCCACAACACGTTCTCGCGCTGCCTCACCATCCACGGCACGCACAACGTCACCGCCGAGAACAACGTGGCGTTCGACCACCTGGGTCACTGCTTCTTCCTTGAGGACGGCGGCGAGCAGGACAACAGACTGATAGGCAACCTCGGCATGGGCACCAAAGCGGGCACCTTGCTGCCAACCGACGCCGTCAACAAGGTCAGCACGTTCTGGGTGACCAACCCCGACAACGAGGTCATCAACAACGTCGCGGCCGGCTCCGAAGGTATTGGCATCTGGATCTTGATGCCGGATTTGCCCACAGGTCCTTCTGCCAACGTAGATATGGGTCTTGTAGAAAAACAGGCATCGCGAACACTTGTCAAGGCCTTCCAAGGTAACGTGGCACACTCTAACAGGCGCGTTGGATTCCGTCTGGACGATACGCTCCTCCCTGACGGAACAGTCCAGCCGCTCAGCTACTCCCCGCGCGTGGACCCGACAGATCCGGGGAGTGACATGGCTTTTCTACATCTTGACGATTTCGTGGCTTACAAGAACAGCGAGGGTGTCTGGATCAAGTCTATGCACACATTGGCTACAAACTTCCGTATTGCCGAGAGCGGTATCGGTCTCATATTTGCCTCAGCCGCACCGGCCAAGCCCAACGAGCATAACGAGATGCTATCTGGGGCACGTATCGTCGGTGACACAGCCAACAAGGGCGAGCCAGCGGGCGAAGTCCAGCTGCCATCCGGAGAGGTCATCCAGGTGGACCGTTCGCTACCCCGCACCGGGTCCGCGCAGCACGCGCAAATTGGCGTCGCCTTCTACCGTGGACCCGTGCATGTGGTGGACACGTCGTTTGCCGGCTTCCAGACTAACGCGCTGCGGCCGGCCGGCGCCATCGGCAAGAAGCTCAGCAACCCGTACTTCTCTTCGCCTATTGCCAGCGTGCGCAACGCCACGTTTGACTTCGCCGACCCGGCCGGTGGCAGCCGTTTCTACGACGGTGACGGCACCGTAACGGGCTACAAGGAGCGCGACGGTAACCGGCACAACGTCGTGCTCGACTGGGACGGCTCGCTTACCACTTACCCTCGCGCCAGCCTGGTGCGGCCCATCCCACTGTTGATGAACGCGCGCTGTGTGCTCCTGCCCAACTGGGGGCCGGGCGTCGGGCTCTGTCCGGACCGCTTCAACCGCGTGCAGCTCGGCATCGCCGGTAACATCCCCACATTCATGACGCGCAACGACCTGCAGAACGCCGAGACGGAGACGGCGCTGGCCGAGAAGCAGGTCAGCTACTCACTCAACTCGGCCGAGTCGTACATCATGCACTTTAACACAACCGTGCCGGCCCGCTTCGGGTTCAACATGTACGGCGTCCAGCAAGGCCTGGCGCAGCTCGTTGGCGTCTGTGTGGGTGCCAACCAGGAGCTGGACATAAAACCGCGAAATCAATACACCCTTGTCAACGACATGGAAGAGGTACTGGCCGACGAGAACAACAGCAAGTGCTTCTACGACCCGGCCATCGGAGTGGCGGTCTTCAGGTGAGTTGGCTACATGCCGGTGAGGTGATGTTCACGTAGGCAGGAGCACTGTAATGCGGGCGTCCCGACTTCAGAAGGTTGGCATTACCAACCCGGCCAATGAACCAAAGCAGCGGACGGTGTATGCCTGTGGCCTGTGTTAACCCATGCGCTTAGTGGGTGTCCTGCGTTGGAGATTTACGGCCGCTCAGCTATGGAGGCTATAAGGCGTCTCTAGACTCTCGCTCTTCGCCCGTCATCGAGCCGGGGCGGCTGTACGCACCACCGAGCGCAGGCTGCCGTGCTAGCGTCGATGGTCGACTGACCGTGCATGTACAACCGCGCCGACAGGTTCACCAGTCAGAGTCCGCGCACCGACGCGACCACGTCCCATTGTCCGGGCGACCTGGACGAGGGCGGCAACGGCATTTGCACTACGCGCGTCATCATCGAGCTGCCGGCGGCGCACGAGGACGGCGACTGTCGCTCCCGGGCCTACCCGGCCTACGCCACCGAGCCTGTGTCGGCCGAGGGCGCGCTCACCGTGCCCGTCTTCGACTAGCGCAGCGATCGGTCAAAGGACAGCAGAACATGGCCGGTAGCCGGCGACGCCACCCCTCTAGAGCTGAAAAACGCAGGACAACTATGTGCTAATAGGAGGCGCGTCGACGAAAGGTTGGGTAAACTCATGGAAAAACGACCTGAGGGTGGCGATGCTTTCTAATCGCGGAAAAGGAGGGTTGAAATTACGACCTAAGAATAAATTCTTCGTTATCAGCATAGCTTTTGAATGGAACTGATGCAAGGTGAGCCGCAAACCGAATGCTATGATATGGGATAGTCAGCTCCCTAAAACGGAGCCTGCTCTAAATAAAGTCCTTGGATGATGTCACTGCCGCCTTGTGTTAAATCATGGGCTTTAGGCCACTGCGTGAACATACTTGTAGCACAGTTATATTTCATAGCAGTAAATGTCTCAAGAATTTAAAAACCAGATGTCAACAAAGATAAAGTTAAGTATCCTGAAAGCTCTCCAGGAGGAAAAAGCACTAGAGGACATCTAAACATCGTGGCATAGAGCTCTTTTACGACATGCCAGCTGTTCCGTTGGAACACAAAGTATGCATAACCTCCGTAATGCGACTCAATATTGTCTTTAAAAAAGACGCCCTCAGAACCTCACCAAGCATCTGTTGCATGAGTTGTCCTGGGAACGCGGGGCCATCCCACGCTCTGCGACTGGCTTAGCCGACCATCTTACGACATCGCACACGTTTCTCATTGGTTAGTTATCACGTCATTCCCGTAACATACGACCATGACCCGACGTGCGTAGTATATAAGGCGCACCGTTGCTGATCATGGAGATCCATTTTTGGCTGGTCCGCGGGGAAGCCTGGCACGAGCGAGGTCGCCACTAGTATCACGCAAGCAATGATAAATCTGCTGCAAATGGGCGCCATGTGACCCGGAATCGCAAATATCCATTTCACAAGTCTTAGTGGTCGAGCTTTCTTCGTGGATCGTTGAAATCGTGAGCCAATCCATCAACCGCACATTCTTGAACGCTTGAATCAGGACCAGTGCGTGAACGTTTTATTACCATTTGTGTGTGTTGCTTCTTACTGACAAACATGACTTCACCTACACATACAACAAATGGGGGACAGTTTATTGCAAAACCGTGCAGGAAATCGTACGCGAAATCAGGGTTCGATGGTTTACACAACGCGTTAAAACATTCAGAGAAGAGAGAGATCGTCACAATGCCATGATTGGGCACGTGATATGGGCAGTATCTTTTTCATTACGGAAGATGAACGCATACGAGTTTTGGCAACCCGCTTAAAAATCCCCAAAGTGGAAGGATTTTCGAAATAGACTGTGTGAGCCATACGGTGAGCGACGGGATCATGATTGCGCTCAACTTAAGTTGCGTCAAGTTAAACGGTATTCTGGAGAACTGCAAAATTTTCATAGGGGCTACAGGTCATAGCATTCGGGGCTTTTCATGAAATGACTAGTACCGATGACCTGCGTTTTCTGATGGAAGTATTCCAAAAAGGAGTGATTGACGATAGGTTAGCCCGTGGAGTCATCCGGAAGCAATTTTATGCGCTTCAGGAAGCCGTCCACCTTGCTTGTGCAGAACAACAAGCGGACCGCACATTTGAAATGTGTAGAGGAATCACAGGTCCCACTGAGGGGCCTATGGATGTCGACATAGCCCGTAACATGCCTGGTTGGGTAGTCGGAAGCTTCGGTGGTTTGGGGAGACCTTTGAACTCGATGTACACTAACGTGAGTTTCCATGAACTGGGAACCTCGTAGGAAGTGGGGCTGGTGTTCACAATATAAGTGATACCAGTGCAGAGAGAACGCATGCAAACTTTAGACCGACACACACACCAGGCGGCCACAGTTTTCGCAGCCTCCATTTCGGGCGTGCTATCCAGATTCCCCAGATACCAATTGCGGAGATAGCGGCTGGAGGGACACCGCTGGTCGCTCTGCGCCTCGATGAGCGGTTCCACGTGGCTGTCAACGGTCTGTGCGCATTGCGATGCAGAAGTGGACGCGTGAGCATCATTGGCCAAGCTGTACAAGAATTTACAAAGCAAAGGTTTGACGTAATCCAGCCTTAGCCTGCTAGGTAATGTAAGGTGAATATGTCGATCTGTTATTGAACTATCCACAATACACAACGTTGTCATACCCAGCTACCGCATATCTTTCTTGTGACCATACGATTTATGACCATAGAAAGCTGTACTGAAATATTGTACAAATATCTACCATATCGATTGTTTTGTGGATATAGCAATCACCCCGTAAATCGTTCGATTTTGATCACATCGACGCAGGCTGTGTGCGGGTGTAAATGATGTCTCATGCGGGTGTCACCAGTCAGCGACGCGCAAAGCCATTTTCTTCACGGGCATTTCGGCAGTAATGACGTCTCCTCTCGAGTAGTCTATTGATATCGGACTGTATTGTCGTCGCACTCAGCGGTAACACTTGTTGCACCACAGATGCTACAGGTCACGCACATTTACCAGCTGCAAAGCCGGGCCGAAGACGCCATTCCGCAAGAGCACGTGTCGCTGAATCACGGTCGGCGCCGTATAAATGTCCGGCGGCGGTGCCCGGGGTCACCAGAGGACCGACCATGCTGACGTGGACGGTGCTGTTGTTGGCGGTGCTGGCCACCGACCCGAGCGGCGCCGAGTGTCCGCACGAGGCGAGCGACCTGCAGCCGTGGAGCGCCGCCTCCTCCTGGGACGCCGGCGCCGTAAGCATGACCTCGCCAGCAGGGGCCAGCCCGCGCGCTCAGTATGTGAACTCTGTGATATTCAGCAGCGTGTCCTGTAGATGTTTTTACCGCCATAGCAATAGCTAGCCAAATTTGCCCCGCGATTTCTTTTCCACATGCGCACTAAAAATGGTTGAAATCGGACGTCTAAGCCATGCCGTACCTGTGCGGTAAGTCCTGCCTGTCGCAGCCGACACATGAAATATCACCCTGAAAATTGTTCCACAGCGTTGCACGCGTTATGTTCGGGTGCGTGGTTTCCTGGGGTGGGGTGCGCGCTCTGCTCTGCTACCGGGCCGCCGCTAGATGTTTGTGCGTTGTCGGCTGCTGCTATCATGCCTCCCCACAGGAGAGAGTATGTACTGAGGAGCCCATTGGTCACCATATGAGCCCCCAGCCCCCTCCCCCCAAGCTCACACGTGGCGTGGCGCTTCTGATGCCGCTGGGGTGAAGGCGGCACCGGCGCGGCGGGTTTTTTTGGGACGGAGCGGCACACATCTTCATGCCAAAAATCCCTGCGCGCATGATGTTTCACCGGTGATCTGGCTTTTCGCGTGCATTAGCCTTCACGTGATGGTCCATCTCGAAAGACGGGGTCGCCGTCATGGTCGTTCCGGGGGGGGGGGGGGGGGTGGAACGGCCGCTTACCTCATCTGGCCGGGTAACACACACTGTTTCCCCACTCCCCACGCAGATACGGTCACAATCTGCGCCGCGTTGTTGCCACGGGTCATCTGGCTGAAGCGTCGGACGGGTCCGCATTCAGCCCTCAAGCCCCGCTCGGCCTGAGTCATACTTGCCATGTCTATGGGGCGAATACAATAATAGGCAAATACGCTGATGCAGCACATAGCCAATCAGTTTAGATGATCAAATGCACTGTGCTAAGAAGAAGCTATGAATCTGCATTGAACAGTTTCCGCCCGCATGCTGCAGAGGACGTCATTTCACACTGGGATGGAAAGGGAATACCAATGCTAACTATTCAGAAAGTGGTAGGTCTCCGTCTTTACCTCCATCCCCGGTTCCCGCGCCTCCATGCCTCACGGTGGTGCAGCGCAAATCACATGGAGAATTAGCATACTGATGACCAGTGACGAGAACGTCATTACTTAAATCCGTGATTTCGTGTTAATTTGTTCATTCCGATGTTAATGACTTCACGACCTCGCCACTCTGTCAAAAGCTGGTGGCGCCGCCGCTGGTGTTGACAGCCCATACACAATGTTTGCTTTTCAGAACACAGTGATCACATGGCAAATTCTACTCGCCCGTTGACCCCTTACATTCATGCATGAATGCATTCCATCCATGCATTGACATATTCCAATCGTGACCAGGACTGACTCGTCCAGGTCTGGCACTTATGTGCCTGACCTGGACGGCTATCTCACATTAATCGATGTGGATGAAGCGTTATATCTAAAGATAAAATCACTTATTCAAACATATAACCTTGTTCTTCTACTTTGAAATGAGCAACCTAGTTCGGTCCGCCTTTTCCCGAGCGGTGTGCCCGCCTGGTAAGCGACTCTGTGTTGCACGCATGCCTGCTTTGACAAATCAATGTTGGACGTCCGGTGCTGTGTCTTGTACAATGCGTTTGACATGTAAGAGCATCGGTGAAAATATGTCGTACCTTTCTGGGCTTCCAAGAGCCTTTGGCTGCGTTTTGCCAACCACGTTCTAGACGCAGTAAGGATTAAAGTTATGCCAGTCCTATGCTCGGACCACAGCGTCACGCAATTTATCCATGGAACTAAGCCTCGTGCGCCCGAGGGTCGTGTTAAAATTTCACCAATCAGTGGTGCGCCGTTCGGCGCGTGCGCAGCGTTACGCAAAACATGACAGACGCAACCGAAGCAAAAAATATTATGTGCTTACTTATAGTAGCGTAACCGTAACAACCCACCAAATTCATCATCGTCAATCCTGTGCGCGCGGCCGGTGGCACGTGCGACCACACGTGTGACCCCCGCGATTTCCCGTGCAATTATCTATCTAAGCGCGTCAATTTCTTATCCCTTCGACCCCTGGTTGCCAAGATGTGGCCACAATTTCGACCTCAATGTATGAGGACGAAATGAGTATATCTACATATGTATATAACTATAAATATTTATTTCGTGATACATAACACAAGAAATAGCACGAGAAAAACGCAGATATCCCTGGGAAAATGTTTCACGAGTTTTGTGTTGAGCTAAAAGAACATTTCAGTCACTCGCTGACCACGGAGCCCACGCTGT